AAATAATTATAAATTCAATTTTCACTCAGTTTATTAAAATAAGAATAAGAAATAAAATTATATATTGGATTTGGGTGTTGTATAAATGAAATATTTTATTTTACATCTCATATGTAACTGACATTAATCATTACATAATGACTAGGAATGTAAAAACTATTTATTTATAAATATTATACAATGGTACATAACATAAGAGAAATTATTTTTACATTGTATGACATTTTTGTATTATTATTTTGTACATACTTTATACTGTTATTAATTATAGTCTTTGCTATTTAATTTATCTGTATTTTCATTGTTATCCTCTACTATAGTATCTAATAACTGTTTAAGTTGCATTCCTGCTGTTAGCCTGGTAAATGGTCTCACAGGAGAAATGCATTGCTTTATTAAATTTTGTATATTAGGATATACGTTCTGTATATGCATGGGTGTATTATGTAAAAAACCACCTGGTAATATACCATCATTTGTATCAAATGCTAATAACATCTGTAAGTATTAAAAGTACACTAAAAACTGTAATTCCTTTGTAAGTAATATCTTATTGTGAAAGTATTAAAAATTTTCGTAATAATTATTGTACGATTTGTTCATAGTAATAACAGACCTTACATATTGCATAATAATTGTGATCACTAATTTTGTGACTACATATATCAGCAGATGAATATATTAAACATCCTGAACACGTAATGTTTTCAGTATTTTCTTGTAACCTATTCCACATTTCAAATTTTTCTAAAGAAAGTAGAAAAGTACATTAATATCAATTTTTTAATTGTCAACGTTACAAATTAATCTTAAATGGAAAATACTATTACCATCAGGCTTGATATTTTTATCAACAACTATTACATTTTCTAAATCTATAAACTTTGCAATATTATTTGAATCAACTGCTATATTGTCAGCTGATATATCAGTCAAATAAAAGCTGAAGTCATTGTTCTGATAAGTAAGGATATAAGCAGCATTTAAAAGACTAGAAGTTATTTTAGCTCTCTGTATCCATGGCTTGTAATAATATGCTGTTAATGGTAATCCAACATATTCTTCAATTATGATGCGACCGCATGCACCTAAATACTTTGGTACTGGCCAATTTTCATCAGCAGATAATATCTACAAGCAATGTCTAAATATGTCGAATTTTGTTTTAAAACTTTAAATAAATTTTTGTTTTTAGAGACACTTTATTAACATAAATGAAATTAAAGTAGTACCTGAAGAAGTAAAGGTTCTGGATTAAGAATTATTGATGTCCAAATGTTAATATCAAGCATTTTTTTATTAATATATTTATTATTAAGATATATACGTTTTAAAAGTTTGCTTAAATGTTGTTCATTAGGACAAAGTCTTAAATGACTAAAATTGTCTTTTGCAAAATCTAAAGTGACTTCCCGTTTAATAAGCTCATAGAAGTTTACATTGTTATTTTCATTTGTTGTTTCCTTTAAATTCTTTGGGCAAATATGTAATAAATTATTGTTTTCACAAAGCATTTGATCAAATTTATCTAATTCATGTGAGTGTGCTAACTTTTTTAATACAATATGATCACCATTTAATTGACCAAAAAAAACATTTTTCACTCCAAAGAAGTAAGAAAACATTGAATATAAATCGTACGATGTAAGATCTACTTCATGAATATAATTACACGCAGAAGTACCGAAACATGCTGGACATTTATGTAATTCTGTTAAATGATTTATATCTGGTCGAAATGTAGTCATTTTTGACCATTTTAAACCAAGAAAAACTGTCGCGAAGAAAAACAACTCCCATTTTTTAAACTTCAAAATATTATATAAATATGACAAAATCATAGATTGATACTTTTTGTTACTCCAAATAAATAAAAGTAAATATACTCCGTTTGTTTACTATTCGTATACTGTAGGTTATGTTTATGCTGTAATATGTATACTACATCAATGATGTCAAACTTTTCTTCTCACAATTGACTCTTCTCGATCAGTCGATTCTCTCCCACCATGAATAACTCTAGTATATATAGTATATAGTGGAGTTCACCATGAACAGTTCACACGTGCAACTACACATTTAAATACTTAAGTAACTAAGTGTACACTCGCGACTAGCAGTTTAACACTTCTGTACTATGTTATGTTATATGAGAGAAATGTCATATGTTTGGTACAAGGAACGAGTGAACTATTATAGATAAAATATAATAAATAAAAAATTGAAGAACTAACTGTAACAAACAAAATATGGATTATCATGAAATATTAAATTGTTTAATAACAGTCGACAATTCAAACAATGGTATGAATGGTTTTCTAGGTAATGAAATAATTACGAGGTTTTTAAATAACGTCTGAAATATTCATTCTTCTGTAGGGCAGGTTAAAAATTTCAATGAGAGGTTACAAAGAATTTTACAAAAGACTTTACCAATTTTAACAGAATGCGATAAAAAATTTATAAGAGATGACAATGAAAATAAGAATGAATTTCCTGATATCAGGTAGCACGTAATCATTGCTTGTATTTAATATGCAGATGAGATATTATATATTAATACATATTAATCAGTAAGAATTAATTATAATTATTAGTGTTTTTCATGTTTTTAGATATCAATATATACGCTTAGTTGTGTGTATATTACAAAATCTGAAAACATCTGTAAATGTAAACAAGGAATCCATATTTAGTGTTAAGCAGTTTCATGCTTTAAAAGCTGCTATAGAATTGATAGTTGCAATTGGCATTGTACCTGCTCTTTTACCAGGTGTTGGTACAGACATGGCTAAATTATGTCCTAAGGCTGTACAGATATGCGAAGAAAAAGTAACAGATATACAAGTATGAAATCATAATTGGAAATAAAAACTAAAATGATACAAAGTCTTTTTATTCTTTACATCTTTATTAATTAAATTTACATATTTAGTAAAAAAATGGTATACTTTTTATTTCAGAAATATGAAAGAAACACATTCACAGTTGTTTCTCTTATGAATTTGTACAATGAAACTATGTTTCGACCAGCAATAATTGCTCAAATAGGTCCCTTATTGGCTGCTCTTTTACAATTAGGATATGCTCCATTAATCAAACCAAATAATATAAATGAAAGTGACAAAACATTTAAAATGACAACAGATTTATATGAGCAATTAAAAAAAGATCAAGAACAATTTGTTCGTTTATTACATCAATTATTAATTAATTGTCCCATGTCTACAAGTATGAAAGAATTGATGGTAATTCTTGGTATTAAAGGATCTCCAAAGTGGCTTCAAAGAGAAACTCGTAAACATTTAATCCAGCAAATTATGCAACCCAATGGAGTTATTTCAATCATAATTGCTATTTGTGAAGATACTTTAGATATTGGAGAACATTGGAATAAATTAGATACTGTTTCCAGATTAATAGCTACCTCGCATGAAAAGAATTCTAATGAGTATTACAAGGCTATATGTCCACAAGTATATTTTGCAAGCATTTGATAGTAATTATTATTATTTATGCAAGTACTAGATAAAATTGATAAAAATCGTACATTTTTTTCAGATATTGGACCTTCTTACATTTGAACAGATATACCACTCTTCGACAATAGCAAATTGTTGCATTACCGCGCTTTACGACTATAATTCTGACATTTGTCTTAAAAATATTATAGAAAAAATTTGTAGTCCTTTGCTTATGAACTTAAGAAAAGAAGAAAATGTAGTTATAAGTGAAACTGAAGTGGAGAAGTGTATAGAAAATTTGACGAAATGTTTTATAGTAGTAGAAGCAAAATTCAAACATTTACCTTGCAAAGTTTTAATAAAAATGGCAGTTCCGTTATTTTGTATATACAATAATATCAGGATAAGCATTTGTTTATTAAAATCTAAAATTAAACAACTCCTGTTAAAACTCTTACACGATGAATCACAGAAAAACAAACTTTTTGCTGAATTTCTTGGCCATAATTTAACTGAAAATTTTGGATATCGTTTAGCCTCAAGGCTTGGGCCAACAGGTGGAATTGAAATTATAGGAATAGATGAGACTTTGAATTATGAACAATTTGCAGACAGTCTCCTAGATTTAGTATTTACTACTAATGTATTGTCAATTTCATTATTTTCGTATTTATTAGAATTTTTATCAGATTTAATGAAACTAGACAATAAGGAGGAAGCTCATAACTTACTAGAAACTGAAAATGATATAATGGACAGAATTCAAAAGCAATTAGCAGCTGTAAAACTTTTATCAAGCTTAGCTAATATATCTGCAGTGCAAGAAGCACAAATAGAAAATCCAAATCCAATTTTTTCTTTCATAAAATCATTGTTTAATGAATATATTAAGAAAAGGCAAATATCATCGGAAGAAGATGACTGTGAGATTCTATACATCAGTTTGATGTTAATAAAAATGATTTTGGGCGAAAGAAAAAAGCTTTTAAATTTCATGGCTTTTAATGATTTTATAATATTTTTGAAGGAATGTTGTGGTCTTTCAAACATTCCAATGCAATTGCTACTATTAATGAAAGAACTTATTGAACTTATTGAAACTCAAGGTCACTCACAAAGCAAACATTATCAAGATCTAACTATAAATCATAAAACAGCTAAAAAGTTTGAAGAAGCGCTTAGAGACCTTGCTGATCCTCTGCTTCCTGTGCGTGCGCATGGTCTTATAGTTCTTACTAAATTAATAGAAAATGTAGATCCTTATGCTACAGCCAGAAAAGCAGTTATTCTTCAAATATTTAAAGTTGGTATATGCAAGTGGGCTATTTAATTTAAAATTTTTATAATAGAATTTACTATTGTATACATGTTTTATTTCAGGAAAATTTAAAACATGATGATTCATTTATATATTTAGCAGCCATTAATGGATTATGTGCTTTAGCCACCTCATATCCAGGAGTAGTTATAGAAGCATTGGTACACGAATACATTGACATGCCACAACGTGTTTCAGCTGGTGAAATTACTATAGAAACAAGAATCAAGTTGGGAGAAATACTTGTAAAAGTAACACGTGGATTAGGTGCGTATATAATGATTGATTTACGATGTAGAACCTATGTATATAAGTATATATCACATAATTTTGATTATTTTATCTCTTGCAAATTGCAAGAGATAAAAAACAGTTTTGAAACAAAACTTATATACTTCTTTCTTTTGCCACTCATGATTTAAATCTCTGAAGATTGATACTAGTGAAGCTAATGAGAGATAGGTTTGAAAAGGTTTAAGGGATTCCCATATTGGATTTTAAATTTTAATCATATGGTACAGATACCATGCAGCTAAATGAAATTACTTCAACTTTTATTAATACAGTAGAACCTTGATTATACTTTCTTTACATTAAATGTACATTACAGTAACTGCTTAACAAAAGGCATATTCTAACACATTTTTGTTTATGGTTTTTCACAGTAGTCAGTATAATTTGATGACATTTTCTTCTTACAATGTTTTTCAAAATAATTTGTTTGTTGAAACACAAATGTGGTAGATTTTAATATTTATCATGTTTCGCAAATTTCAATTTTTATGTTATAGTATACAAAGCATATATCTTTCTTTCAATGATAATTGTTTTGATTTGGCATTTAAGAAACGACATTCATTTCAAAAAGTTATCTGCGTATTTATAAATTGTAAAGTAACAACATAGCAGTTTCAAACTGAAACTATTATGCCATGTGTTCTTTTTACTTTCAATTAATTTCTGTAATTCAATAGGTGAAATGGCAATAACATACAAAAATATTTTAATAAACGGATTCTTATCTGCTACACGAGATTCAGATTCCTTGGTTCGTGCTTCTAGTCTCTCGTGTTTAGGTGAATTGTGCAAGGTGTTAGGTTTTCGATTGGGTGATATTGTTACAGAGGTATATACCTTTAATTTATCAGTTATTATTTCGGTTAAAGTTCATTAAGCTTTGATTTGATTTGATCTAAATATACGATTTCAGGTGATTTATTGTATTAGTTGTATAATAAAAACAGATAAAACTCCTGAATGCCGACGAGCTGCGGTTATGGTTAGTACGTTGTTGCTTCGTGGTCTTGGAAAAGACACATTAACAAGTTTGGGAAAAGATTTGGTTGACTTATATCGTGGTCTGAAACACTTACGAGACAACGACGATGATCCGGTACTGCGCTTACATGCTCAGCTGTCTCTTGAAGAGTTGGATCAGATTGTACAAAATTTCTTGTTTTCACCTCCAAAACTTGAAAAAAGAATATTTTTATTGGGTGGTTCATAACAAACGAATCAATTATCCAAGAAAACTATCATCAAGGAACAAGTTTTCTTAAGATTTGTTCCATTTTATTTTCTATAAAGAATATTTATATCCAATATTTTCTTTGTTGATATACAGTTTATGATATTTAAGTAAATACAGAAAAAAATCAAACTTGCTTTATACATGTACAGAATTGTAAAATTCCTTGTTATTTTTATCTTATGATAGAGGCGTGCAAATTATTTGACTCATAAAAAAATGAGGATCAAGTAGCGATTACAACATTTGAATATTAATTTGTTACACTTTTAGTGTGCGTTGTATTAATTTACAAATTAATATAATATATTTTACATTACATCAAAATTATACAATATCTTAATTAACCCACCGAAATAACAGAAAAATAAATACTGAAAGAGACAAACTTGCGAACAAAACAACTAGTTTTTAAAAGCAGAAGCTTTTCTTATCGCACTTCCCGTTTGCCACTTCTAATTTACAACTCAAAGAAATATCTAAATGATAATTTAATATGCGATAACAATTTCTCTCGTATAATGTTTTATTATCTCTAAAATTACTAATAAATTGTAAAAATTATCTAATTAGTTTATACGCCTCTATCATTTACCAGTACTCCCGTATATTTTATATGTACAAATTTTATTCCGTCGCGAACAACATTAGAAAGTGAGAAATAAAAAATAGATAAAACAATCTAGATTAACGTATTAATCTATATGGTTTTAAGTGAAACTTGGAACGTGGACTATAAAAATATTGTATCCTCTGAAAAGAAACCTGCCAATCGAATATAATCTCGTTTTAGGCAAGCATACATCCTTTGTGGTTGTGGTGTCGAGGCCGGTGAAGGTCTTGGCGTTACAATCCGCAAAATGAATTCTTTGCATGAAGCTTCGGGAAATGTTTTTATTTTATCGTCTGCAACTCCATCTACATCTGCATTGCTACTAACGGAAGTCATCACGAATACAGCCTGAAACACAAGTGTTATTATTATTAATATTATTAATCAACTTTTCTTTTAAACAAGTGACTAAATTAAAAAGAGAAAATTCTGTCACCTTTTGAGCTTCTCTAAACATAGTGGTTATACGAGAGGCAATGTTTCCTCTGGAACCACCTGGTACCTCAACTTCCTTCCCTCGCATCAACTGAATGAGGAACGAAGTAAATTCTTTGGATTCATTGTTTCCTCCCAGTTTGTGTTGCAGCGAACTAACTTGAGCAACCAAAGCTTCCACGCTTTCTATATCTCGGGTAATTTCCTAATAAATCAAAAATGTTTTTCAGCTGTGTATATTATGTGATTGTATACAGAAAGTTTTCTAAATTTTTTAATTATGCAAAAATGAACAATATTAGTATGTTTAGCATAGTGCATGCAACACTACCATTTCGAATGAAAAAATTAAAAAAGAAATTTACTATTTATGAATATTATTAATTTTATGAAAATAATTACTATCAGTTTGTATATGTGTTTTTTGAATATCTCACTGTGTAAATTAATTATTTGTATCTTAATTGTTGGTGTTCACTGATCAAATATTAATCTCCAATCATCAAACCTCATAATTGTTTTTTGCAGCTGTATTATTTCATAGACAACTACTTTTGAAGTTCAAATTTTAAATAAATGAAATTTATATTATAAAATAAATTATAAAAAAAATTATATACAGCTGCGATCGCCAATTGTCGATGCATCAAAATACTTTGAAAATATTTCGGGAAACTTTGAAACTTTTATCGCAAGCATCAATTATAAATTAATCGATTGTAGAATTTACCTCGTATATATGTAACTTCTGATGAATTGGTTTTGTAGCATACTGTAATTTCTTAAGTATGCTGTGCGTAACGTCGGTTAAATTCGGCAGAGCATCCTGCTTTTGTTGACTAAGTGTATAGAGTGCAGCGTGTGTCAAAACTGGCAGAAGAAGCTGACCGACTTGGTCCAGCCGCTTTGAGCTCAGGTAATGCAACGCCTTTTCCGCTTCCCTAGTATCATCGAACAATCTCTTCTGTCGATGTGCGGGGACAGGCTGCGCCGAACTCCAAGTCGAGGACCAAGGGTTATTAGGTATCAACATTCTCGCTGACAAGTGTCCTGCGTTGAAACGTTCTGCCATTAGTATTTTGCGAAAGATGGACAGAAATCAGTAGTGCGTTCTAAAGTACAAGGACATTGGAAAAGAACCTGTAGCTTGACCCCAATCGTCCGTTCCGTCCTCTTCAATCCAATCCCTCGGAGAATACCATCGAATAAAATCTTCCAGTATTGCTCCAGGGTTTGCTGCCTATATTTATAAATCGTAATTGCATTAGATTTGTACCGCATAAATATTAATATAAATAAATAAATGAACAAATAAACACTAGTTCTTATATCTCGGAAGGGAAAAGTGTCCGGACCAATGTTTATATGATCTCTCTTCATTTTTAGGAACTGTCGAATAGGGTTTGATCACCTATTCCGGTGTCATTCTGTATATTTAAATTTATCTATGTTTTTTATATAGCCTGGAAACTGTAATAGATATTTAAAAAAGACAGTTATATAAAAAATACTTTTTACGCTCTAAAAAACTGTGTATAAGAAAAAATATTACTCATCGGATGTATGTAAGAGTTATTTGCTAGAGTTTTATAGAGCATTGCAGCCTATTAAATTTTTATTAAAATAACTTTTTTATCTGTATTACCGATTCAAAGATGTATAAAGAAACTAGGAAGAAGCACTAGATATTGTGGACTCTTATAAATCCTGTACAGCTTCCAGAAATAAATTCTTCATCTTATCAAAGTGTTCTAACTAAAAATTTTCTTGAAAGTTATAATTATTCAGAACAGACCAAGTTTTACACTGCTACTGTATGTATGCTTCTGAAAACGCATTTATTTAACACGTTGAATGCTGCGTGGGTCAATGGTGATTCACAACTAAATAAAATTACTCTAATTTCAAAAATTAATTTAATTTTAATTCAACTAAACAATGATTATTTAAAAACCTTTTTACGTTACAAACAATATAATATAAAGCAGCGACATTCGACAAAATAAACGCGCAAAGAATGATTACGGAACTACATTACATAATTTGATATTATATTTTTTGTATCGTGTATATGTATTTTGCTTTGCGAAATCGCCTAGCAGTCAACGTGTTAACAATCATGTTTTCTCATATTACACAGTCGAGTTTTTAATATCACACAAGAGCAACTAGACACGAATAATTAAATTGTTCATGAAAACCAGTTTCACTGCATACTATTTGAAATGGAAGTTATGAATTCCAAAACAGCACAAATCAACCAATTACCATTTCGAAAAAATCAATCTTCATTTTCATCTTCGTTCATTCATTCATTGTATATTTTATTTATTTTTTTTGCAAGCATTGGCTACACATAAATCTTTATTACGTGTACATTTTAATATTATTAAATAGGCCTGAATAAGCTATAAATAATTAAATCAATAATTCAAATAGATAACATTAAAAAGTGGACTTGTGCTGTTTTGGAATTCATAACTTCAATTGTAAAATCACGAATGGTAAATAAATTTTTCTAAAGTATGCAGCTGCACCGATACGAATTACAAGGACCTTGAAAGATTCCATGTCGGACAATAGCGAAGCGCTCATCAATCTCGCTCGCATTTCTGAGGCGTGTTGGTCGGTTCCAAGTTGCATCATTACTTGAGCATCTTCCTCGAGCTGATCCTCCGTTTTCGGAACGGGGTCTTGCGTTTTTGGCAGATAAAGAGGATCCCCAGTTTGGATTAATCTAAAGGGAAGAAAAAACAATCCATACACGAATTTCTATGAAAACAGTTCTCACGATAAATAAAAGGACAGAAAGAGAGATGACGCAGTAGATTTTACTTGAGCGTGGGATGTTTGGCCAATCTTCCTGCGGGTTTATTCCACAACAGATACTTCGCTTTCGGCGTCCTTGTCGCCGAATCGTCCTCGTTTGTTGGTTCCTCGCTGGTGCACTCGAAAAATTCCTCTTCTTCCGACTCTGCTGAAGCCAAAGGAAAGTTAGCGTTAGATGGTGTGTAGACCTGACGTTGATTCGGTACCACCGATTAAGATACAGTAAAACGCCATTTGTTCGGATTCTACAGTTCTGGATCAGGAATTTATGGCTACTCATAGTTTTTAACATTTTTTTACTAATCATAGTATTGCAGGCCCAAAAGGTAATTTGTTAATTTTTTCATCGTAATGTTAAGATCGAGCGTTAAGCAACGAAATTAAGCCAGAATTATGTGAATATATCATTGCTGATTTGCTCTAAGATGGTATTAATGGTGACTTAGTTTTTTTTATCACGGACTGTATTTTGTTTAAATGAAATTTAATGTTTGACTAGCCGTATATTTTATCGGCAAGTTAATTTTAAAATTATTGTCTATCGTTACTATAAATACCTTTAATAAGATATTTATATGATTCGTTGTAACTTAAGAGGGTATTTTAGTGTGAAGGTTGGTTTCTTTTAAACCTTTTTTACTAATTAAATTAATATCACTAATTATTTACATTGACCAGGGTATACTTCATCAATTTCAATAACGTTCAATTTTGTTATGACGTTCCGACTATGACTCAATGACGCAAATAAAGTAGTGCACAAATGTAGATTATATTTTTTTATAATTGTATGTTATATATAAATAACTGTTTATCTAGTTTTAATTGGAAGAAGGATATACGAAGATAGTTAAATGTTATTAAAAATATTCCTTGTATAAATTATAAAAAAATTCGTAGAAACCATGTTCTTGCGGTGTATGACACGAAAATGTTAAAAATGTTAATAATTTATCGATGTTGATTTTCATAATATTTATTAGGAAAAATTATGAGTTTCGGTATATAAATTTTCGAAACTCTTATCTAAGACTTGATAAGGTATCAAAACACTTCTAAACTTCAAGGCGTTCGAAACCCAAAACTCTCGAAACTTGAAGATACTAATTTTGTTTTGTGAGAAAAATGTGTTGTTTTAAAAACTGAAGTCAATATTAACATTAACCATTAAACAATAGTATCATGCAATAAATGTAATAGAACACCTGTCTCAAAATCTTCGATGTCCAAGCTTTGAGACTTCTGCGCGGCTTCCTCCCTAGCTTTCTTCTTCTCGATGCAGCAATTCAGCATCTACAAAGAGATTAAATTGGTAGATAAATACATAGACTTAGAACGTGGTAGAAATATTGATGGATATATGTGTAAAATGAAACGTTACACACAAAATGCAGATAGTTTATGTCAATTCTATTTTCGTATAAACGAATTTCTAACGGCGGACAGACAACTGAAGTTTCTTTTATTTACAACGAATGTCTACATATCTAGAATAATATAAATCTGTTTAAGAATTTTATTGCAACATTTATATTATTCAGTCTTGCAGTTTCTCGTACGTTATATTAGATATCGGAAAAACTTCGTTCAGGTTCTTAAATCAAAATTTAAACACTGAGAACGCTTTTGTAAAACAATTTTATTTTATTCGATACCAACGGCATAAACATAATATGTTGCTAATATTAATTTCATTCACTAAACTAGTGAAATACAAGTTAGACGATAAATTTGTCTTAGTGGAAACAGAAACAACAGGTAAGACAAAAATTGAAAAACTGATTAATCGAGCAATGTAAGAATTGATATAAAGTTAAATGGACGAAAGAAAATGTAAAATTTTAAATAAAAATTTTAATATCGTTCATTTGACCGGTCGCGGTAGGGTTAGTGTTTATGATAACGTAGTTTTATCAAGCACAATCGTGAAAAGAATCATAGGACAAGGGATTAAAAGATTCCGATTATGCCCAATTGACCTGCATCGAATCTGCAGTTTTAGGAACTGCCAATGAACTGTAAGAGCTAGTACCTACCTTCCATTATCGCTTTGATTACGAATGTGTGATTCGATGCACTACGTAAATCTCTGAAGAATTTTAATTATCTTCGGGTGTAAGTATCTTGAGGTTAAACGATCGGAATGGTATGGTAACTAAGATCATTGAATTTCTCCCTTGGTGTTTTCTCCCAAGGCTGATGAAATAAGAATATAGGGTTCTGTTGAAAAACATACACTTTGATCTCGAAGTCCCGCGAAAGAGATGACTTTGAGAAAAAATTCTGAACACCGTTACATGTATCCTTTGAATCTCTACAACTTCGGCCCGAGAAGCTTCTTCATAGACGGAACGTGAGGTAGACGTTTAGCATCAACCATACCGCGAAACGGTCAAATGACTAAATTTTAAAATTTTGATTTAAAATTTTGCGTTTTCTTTCAGTCCTTTGATACTAGAACTACCAAACAGGTCAAAATGACCCATTTTTGATCTCTTCTTTTTGCAATTATTAAAAAGATAACATGATTCTCTGAGAAATTACCAAACAAATTGGTTCAGCGATATGCAAACGTAACTGTATATAATTGTAATAAATTAATAGAAATCTCAATAGATAAACTCTAAGAGTTTCCGTACGAAAATTTCGAAACGTCAATTTGACTGATCGGTAGTTATGGTGTTAACTTCATATCGATTCGTATATTGTTCAATTAATCAGTTCTTTCAATTTTTGTCTTTCCTGTTTAATAAATTTTGATTATTAATCATTTTGTTTACATTTGAAAATAATCTAGTACGTGGAATGCAACAAGAGTATCCATAAGACGTCATTAGCAATTTTGGAACAAAAACATCTTGACGCGCGTCGTTGGATCTCAGATCCAATAAAATTTGGTTTGTTTGGTATGTCGAGGAAATCGAGAAAATTAATTTCTAAATTTGTACAAAAGGTAATATTTCTCGAATTCAAGTGACATAGCGGTCAAAATGTTAATGGAATTCTTTTCTAATGAAAAGTAAAGACATTATATCTACCTGAAGCTTTTGATGTAGTAGACAAGTTCGCACAGAATCTGGAAAGCCTGCGCCGACTCTGAAAGCGAAAACAGAAACAATAAACAATTGCAAATAAAAAGGATTTCTGATAACTTTTTAACAACTTATATGTAATATAATATAATTATATGTAATATGTAACATATAATAGGTTTAATTTTCCACACAACGTACGATTCGAGTATCGCTGTTTATTTTATAAATATTACTCATAATATATAGTATATCCATATACATATAATAGTATTGATTTATGCAAATGAGAAAGTTTAGACAAACACGTGCCTAATTTTGAATTAATACGAACGAATAATAAGAATAAAAATCAATACTAAATACTAAATAAATATTTATTTTTCTTTTATAACTATCATTCCTATTAAACTTAGAATTAGTTATTTATTTAATAAAAGAACTGAGAACTGATACATTAGAAATTAATGTCGAAGGTTTACATAATTTCATATTTATTACGACTCAAAATTCAAACTGAAGATTTTGAAAAATTTTATTCTGCAATTCTATAGACGTGAAAGAACGTATTTTTCGTTTAAACTCTTTTTCTGCTATCTCTTATCGTTTTCAAAATAATCCATGGAAAATAAAAATTTCCATTTTTTCAAAGAGTGGTTTTACTCCTTCAAAGTGAAATACGGTACGAAAAAATAAAAGCGACGTATTAGTATTATAAGTTTATTACACACAAAGTTTCATAATTTTTTTTTAATTTCCGGGTTCGATATCTTTCCTTACAAGTCTCAAATAAAAATAGTTGATTCTATACTACTTTCTTTCATTTAAAGTTTAATTATACAAATTAAACACAAATTAAACCATATTATTATACAAAATAACATATTTCTGTTTTGTAACGAGACAGAAGCAGAAAAACGATTTCCAACGATGTAAATTCTTTCATTCACTTATTGTGATAAGAGACGCGATGGATGTACATTTCGTGGAAAGCTGTGTACGTATATGTTGACTTTTCCAATTTAATTAAAAAATAGATGAAAGCTTACGATCGCAGAGTTATTGGAAAAGAAATGTATTTTCCGATTCTGACTAAGAACAATAAACAACAAAGTTGATTTAAAATTTCTCTGAAACAGAAAATACTCGTATCTTAAATTAACAAGTAAAATCTTCTGGCATTAAGGTAATAAAGAATATTTAAGGTATCTTGACAATAGAATATTACATAGAGGGCATACGCAATAGGTATACCCAATTGTAAGTACTATTTCGAATTTACTGTTTTAATTTGAAAATGGCAGTTTTAAGAATTTGAGAAAATTTTAATTAGAACAATGTAAAATAACTACATTCTGCACAGAAAATTTCAGTCGAGTAACTGATTAAGATGGTACGATATGAAAAGCATTGTACACAATTCTAACATTGTGCAAAATTACATAATTTTATAACCTTTTCTACAGAAGATAAAAATCCTAAAAAAATGCAAGTCTGACTGATATTTAATAATAATAATATTATTATTATTATCTTATAATTATTATTATCTTATAATAGATAATTATTATTATTTACGCACTATTTTTTAACACTGGAACTACCGAATGGATCACAATGATTCATTGTGAATTTGTTTTTTTATAATTATAAAAAGAAGACATATTTATATATATGTATATCGATAATATCTTACGATATATAGAAAAATACGAATCACCTAATTTAACTTTTCAGTCATTCTCAGTCTAAAGAGCAACACTAGAACTACCGAGCGTTTAACATGATTAATATGTAATTCTCATAAGAATTGTAACAACAGATTTCCCTCGATTTCTTCGTATGTTCATTGTAGTATTCAAGTGAAACTATTTATTTTTAAAATCAATTAAATACAAAAATAAGAAAACTGGAACAGGTCATTTTGACGGGTGCAGTTGTTCTAGTATTAATGCACATTTCACCTTAGAAATTAATCGAAATTTCAATAAGTGTTTTCTTATGATTTGTATAGAAAAATGCGAATCACCTAATTTCATTTTTCAATAATTTTAATGTTAAAAATTAATAAAACTTTACGTTCTCCCGCGCACATTTTTTATTGGTCAAAACGTTCACATCTGAGAGTCGAATTACATGCCAGAGCACTATCAAGGGCTGTAAACGTATCAACATGGGGTCACGTGGAGCGAGTGGTGTACCATTTCCCGCCATGTGCCATCCCGTTGCTCTTGACTGTGACTAGCAGTTTCATCCCCTTAACACGAATTTGATAGCTAAACAATTTACCTTGAATATTTTCACAAGCACAATATACAAAAAACATCGGTAATATTAACGTTTTACCATAGTTGCAGTTAATCTATTTGCATCATGACTCTACTTAAGTTTCTGTGTTCAGACAACAGCGGCGTTCATCTGACGGTTGGTCTGTATTACCGCGTATGGCCGTATATCAACAGTTTACATTGTTATATGCGGAATATTCTGCGGACGGTGATAGGAGACAATCGTCATGCGCGGAATATTCCGTTTACGGATGCAAATGGATTAAAGACAAAGTTGAGCGAAAATTTTATTTTGATTAAAAAATAATGATTCAGTAAATCTTCTTGTTTCAATTTTTCATTTGTTTATTTTTCATAATGTCCTTTTATGAATAAATTGTATATGTTGCGTAACTATAGCACTGCCTCAATTTTTAGTTGTTTCAGACTTTAGATTAAAAGTGCAAAAAAATGAATTGTAGAAATTGAAAAAGTATGAGAAAAATTAACTGTACACTAAATTACATTTAAATCGCCCTCTTATACAAAACGATATAATGGAAAATGTGATTTTGAACAGTTGCGTAACTATAGCATCGGCGTTGTTATTTATTAATTTAATTTCTACATCGAAACTGGCATAACGTAAGTTAATTTCGAATATTAAAATCTTCTAAACCTAGCTTATCGTAATTTCTTTTATTGACAATTAGACTGTCTTTTTGGATGAAAAGAAATTCAATCTTGATGGACCTGATGGATACAATTCATACTGGCGAGATCTTCGCAAAGATCCACGGTATTTCACGAAAAAATTTTCGATGAACAAAGTCTTATGGTTTGGGGACTTTTTACAGTAATGGCATGTTACAATTAGCTTTCTCATCGAAAAAAATGAATAATGACGAGGATATTAGTATTTTAGAAAATAATTTGCTATCTCTTTGTCAAGAAAATGGTACCATAAATTGGTCGTGCCAATAAGATAACATGGCTATACACACAAATGAAAAAGTGATGGCATGGTTTGAAGCAAACGATATTGACATTATTAAATGGCCAACATATTAGCCGACTAAAATCCTACGAAAGACATTTGGGGCATAATTGTGAGGAACTTTTACGCAGAAAATCAGCAATACGGAAACGTTTCAGAATTAAAAAACGCTATACTCGAAATAAGTAACAGAATCAACAGAGACATTTTTCAGAAACTTATTGATAGCGTACCAAATGCAAGTTATTAAAATCGTTTATGATTGATTTTATTGATGTGATGGTATAGTTCCGCAACAGTGAAAATTCATACTTTTGATTGTATCGTTTTGTACAAGAGAAGAATTTAAATAAAAATTACTTTAAAGTTTATTATTTTTCATATCCTTTTAATTTCTACAATTAATTTTTTCGCGCTATCAATTTGAATTCTAAAACAGGTAAAAATTTAGGCGGTATTATAGTTATGACGTTTTTAGAAAATTAGACGTTAAGAACGTTTTTATAAAATAACTTCTTTTATTCAATACCAACGGCATAAACATAACCTGCTACTTATACCAATTTCATTCCTTAAACCAGTGAAATGCTGTTTAAAATCGAACCTGAATCCATTATTAACAAGAAAACCGCACGAACTTTTACTAATACCTAATAGAAACAATTTCCAAGTCCTCTATTTTCCCAAAAGAAATGACTACCACGGTTACATCCGGTGCCGATTAGAACACGATGAACTTCTCAAAAGACGACGTTCAAGGGTGAACCAATTCGACAAAGTTCTCCACGGATCAGTCGAAAAATCGGGACACCAGTTCGCTGGATCACGGTCGAAGGAACGATAGGCTCGTTTTCTGAAGCCGTGCTTCGTCCGTATTCGCCCTACCTTGGCTTACACCTGGGTGAGAGACCAAACGAGACGAGACGAGACGAGACGAGACGAGACGGGACGGAACTGGAAGGAACGGGACGGGAAGGGACGGGGTCGGGTCGGGATTCTAGAGGGGGTCGAACGCCAGCGAATTCTTGCAGTCTAGTCCGAGTCCGTGATGTCGATGCCACCGAGACCAAGTTAACGGTTTCGTTCCCAGTTCTGAAGGTGCCG